ACTTTTGAATCCATTATATGTTTACTGAACACTAAATTATATGAAATTAACGCTCAAATGAAACATTGAATTGAAATCTAAAGTATTTCTGACACAATATTTAATAATATTTTAGATGTTATATAACGTGCAAAATATGTGCAATTAATAAACAGTTGTTTTTTATATCCAATTGAGTGAAAATTGTAATTTAATTGTATTATTAGATCACTATTTAGATGATGTGTTGGGAGACTGTGTTTTGCGCGCGCTTTGTATGCATCGAATGCTATAAACTGTACGACAATTCTCTCAACACTTCATTCGCTGACATCTCGTCTGGAATTCATTGAAACCGACAGTCATTTGAATCCATCGATCGATTCATTCATCCCTTCATTGATTGCAAAATGCGTTCATTAGTGGCGAAAGTGGTGTCCATTGCGTCCGTCGTGTGTCTCGCGATGTCATCGATGGCCGCAAACACTGCCAANGATTGCAAAATGCGTTCATTAGTGGCGAAAGTGGTGTCCATTGCGTCCGTCGTGTGTCTCGCGATGTCATCGATGGCCGCAAACACTGCCAACACTGCCAACGAGTCTTCGGTGGCAACGGTTGAGACGACCACTGCTTCAACTCCGGACCTGTCGGTGATGTGTACGAAGACATCGGCCAACATATATATGACGGGTTGTTTGATTCAGTCTCTGGACTATTGGGAACTCAATGTCGCCATCGCTTCCCAATTGGCAAATATGACCACCACTTGTGTCCACAACGACTGCAACGCCCGCTTGTGTTGCGCTTTCATTGATTCCTATCACTGCTACCGACTCTTCTTCGGACACAGTTGTACCCAAGAGTTGTCCGATTGGTCCGCAGTTTACAAATGGCCGCCAAATTGTACGCAAGATTCGGTCGCCGATCGCTGTCAACGCCGTAACCGTTTGGCAGATAGCGAGGCATCGGTTAACCGATCGGTGCCAACACATGCCGACAATCGCAAGATTCAAATTTATTTGGACTTCAATTCCGGCGATTCGGCCATCGCTTCGGTGGCCATCGTTTGGACACTCATTCTGGCCGTCGCTTACGTTATCTATTAATTCATTTTATTTGTAATTTATTTGTATTTCATTTATAATTCATTTGTATTTTATTTGTAATTCATTTGTATTTTATTTATACATTTAATTTGTTATTTATTTAAATTTCAATTCATTTTAATTCATAACTGAATTCAATGTTTTAATAAAAACAATATTCGTTTGACTTTTGAAAAATACGTTAAGATTTGTGACAAATATTTTGGAATATTTAATAAACTGTTAAAACGTTTAGAATTGAGTTAACTATCAGTTAATTGCCTTCAAATCACAATTCAATCAACACTTCAAACAACGGATACAATGAACTCATTATTGAATGTTTGACCGCAACAGGTGTGGCCTCTCTTCTAATGACAGTATCACATATTCCACAATTAGTCCCCATTCAGACAATATCAACTGTTCATGATCATTTTGATTCTTTATTACAAATAAATAACAAATAAAGTAATAAACTATACATTATTGGTATATAATTATATAACTGTAATATAATCAATGGTTCAAAAATGAATGTGTTTGCAGATGGAGTCGTGGACTGGAAGTGCTGAAAAGCCAGCGATTGTAATACCAATGGAATCGCTTAGAGTAGTGATACTGAGAGCAAACTCTTTGTACTTATGGTTGACTTCGGTGTATATCCTGTGAAATGTGTTGACATAAGCGGCTCCGCCTAACAGACCCTCGAATAGAACCAGAGATAACATAAACCATATGTTTGGCAGAAATCGTAACCAAATCTGTGACAATACAATCAATGCGTTGATTGACTGAAGAATCGCCAGAATATAAATCGGTTTGATTTTAACAAAACTTAAAGAAGATCTCGATATCAATACTCCGATCTGTTGTATAAAAATTCATTTATCAGAATATCAATGGATTGAATGTATGGTCTGACCTGATAGTCAACGTTATACCATCGGTACTGTTCCTTATGACTGAGCCATATGTCTGGGAAGTAAACCAATTCAAACTAGACAGACAAGCATTTGCATCGAGATTACAATACTGTATAAGCATATTAAATATTAGTTTCAAAATTGTCATAAATACAAACCAATCCCTGATTAATAAAGTACTCAAAAAAGTAGACCAACATTAATGGTATCATATATTTGAAGAGTTTCTGTCGGAATAATTAAAA